TAAGGAGAAACTTCCTGACAGTTAGAACAATTAACCAGTGGAACAACCTGCCTCCAGAAGCTGTGAATGCTCCAACACTGGAAGTTTTTAAGAAAAGACTGGACAGCCGTTTGTCTGAAATGGTGTAGGGCTCCTGCCTGGGCAGGGGGTTGGACTCGATGACCTCCAAGGTCCCTTCCAACTTTATTATTATTATTATTATTACCTATATCCTGTTTAATTTCAGAGAAAATGTATGTCTTTACTGCGTCTTTTAGGCCAGGGCTTTTCAACCTTTTCACCCATTGTACCACTTTTAGGATATTGCAACATCCGAGTACCACCAGTCGCCTAGCAAGGTCTCAAAAACTTGATGACAAAAAAAAAAAAGGAAAAAAGTGGTAAAGTACAGGTAGTCCTCGACTTACAACAGTTTGCTTAGTGACTGTTTGAAGTTACAATGGCACTGAAAAAAGTGCCCCCCAAGCCACAGCCGAGCAAGACACCTGCCTGCCCACCCGGCCGCGTTCTCCCTTCTGTCCGAGGTTTTCATTGTTGTGAGCATTTCTGTTGAGGATTGGCAGTGGGGGTGGGGGGGGTGTGTGTTTGGTTTTTATTCCCCCCGTCTGCTGGGTGGTTGCAGCAGGTTTTGGTCACTTCACATGACCCTGGGACACTGTGACCGTCATAAATATGAATCAGTTGCCAAGCATCTGAATGTAAATCACAAGACCCTGGAGAGGCTGCAACATTCCAGCTGATTGGCGCTTCTTCTTGGCTCAGCAGAAGTGCCAGGATCAGTGCTGCTTTCCAGCTGATTGGTACTTCTTCAGGGCTTAGCAGAAGCACCAGGATCAGCACCGTGCTCCAGCTGGAGCCTGGCGCTGATCCTGGCGCTTCCACTGAGCCCTGACAGCCCTGCAGCTCCAGCCATCTCTCGCTCAGGCTTGTGCGGTGCTGCCACCGGTTCAGCTCATTCCCCTCCCCCACTACCACTTTTCTAGGATGGTCGCGTACCACCTGCCAGGTGCCAATGTACCACAGGTGGTACCCGTACCACTGGTTGAAAAGCCCTGTTTTAGGCAGAGGTATTCAACTTGGGCAACTTTTAAGATCTGTGGGCTTCTACCGCCCATGTTGGCTGAGGAATTATGTCCTAAAGTCCTAAAGTTGCCAAGGTTGGACACCTCTGCTTTAGGGTAAAACCTCTTGTCACTAAAACATAGTTCTATTGTGTTATTTTTAAAACGTGCAAAAACAGTACTAAAATATTGTCAAGTTTAGGTTAGCCCAGCAGCTTAGCATTCCAATGATTTGGGAGAGACTTTGGTCTTACCTCCCATTAGTTTGCTTATAATATCTGCGAAGCTTGAGATATGAACAAGTTAAGAGTAAATCTGGGAGAATAAGGTAGTCCTCGACTTACAACAGTTCATTTAGTGATCGTTGAAAGTTACAACAACACTGAAAAAAGTGACTTAGGACCGTTTTTCATACTTAACGACATTTGCAGTATCTCCACTGTGCTGGACCAGTATGTAATCATATTGCAGTATGTAACCATATGTAAGCATATATTTGAGAACTTTGTTGTTATGTTTAGCATTTAAAGGGTTAAACGCTGTCTCCTTAAGAGATGGCTTATGGGTAATATAGTTTATCAAGTCAGTGGGAGATTTCAAAGTTTATTGCAGTACTTCCTGGCTTTGTGTATGTAGAAGCCATTGTGAAGACAGACACGAGGTGATGTGTCCCATAAGAGCCATGGGGTGAGTCTACCATTAATTCTTCACCCGGAAGAACAGAGAAGGTTATGATATGTTCATCAGAAGAACTCTTCTTGGCTGTAAGTTATTGTTTGAGATTCCTGAGGAATCAATAATCTGCTTTAATCCTGCTCTTCTCAGACAGATAAACTCCAAAGAACGGGATAATTCTCAAATATATGCTCTGGCAATATGGTTACATACTGGTCCAGCACACCCACCGTCACATAAAATTCGGATGCTTGGCAACTGGCACGACGGTTGCAGTGTCCCGGCGTCGTGTGATCCCCTTTTGCGATCTTCTGATGATGTTACCTAGTTGGGTCGTGAAACGTCTGCAAGAAAACAAACAAGCTCAGAGAGCACCAAGGATTCCCCCCCCCCTTGTGTCATTTGTTGATGAAGCTCACAAGTTTCCTTTGCTGCAATCTCCGTCGTTCCGATTTTAACCTCATGCCTCTGCTTTTTTTTCTTCCTTTCCAGCACAACAGCGTTGAGAATGCCACCGCACTCCAGCCCTCCAACTCTTTTTCGGTTCCCGCAACCATGTCCACCACCTCTTCGGCCACCGGCATGGCCAGCACCACCAACAGCCTCGGCCTGAATGCGACCAGCGTCTCTCTGCCAATTCCCACCAGCCGAGCAGCGCCCTTAGTGTCTTCAGGTTCGCAATCTTAACAGGTTGCATGGATATAACAAGAGAGGATTTGAGCCTGCAGGTCTGCCCATGAGACACCTTGAGCGTTTGGGGAGGGGAAAAAAAAAAGAAAGAAAGGATGCCTTTTCTAAAAGACTGGCTTTTTAAAAAGCATGCTTTGCACAAGGCCTACGAAATAAAAAATGCCTGGCTTTTTAACGTGTGAAAATATTTTGAAATTCCTACACGTAGAGGGTTACGTAGCCACAAGCACCAAGGAGAAGCCTAGCCTCACAAATGTGAGAAAGCAGAATGGAATCCGTATTATTCCCCTTTCTGTTGCTAGACCAGGGGGTAGGCAACCTGGGCTCTTTTATGCAGGGCTTTTCAACCTTTTTCACCCATTGTACCACTTTTAGGATATGGCAATATCTGAGAACCACCAGTCGCCTAGCAAGGTGTCAAAAACTTGATGACCCCCCAAAAAAAGAAAAAGAAAAAAAGGGATAAAGTACAGGTAGTCCTCGACTTACAGCAGTTCACTTAGTGACTGTTCGAAGTTACAATGGCACTGAAAAAAGTGCCCCCCAAGCCACAGCCGAGCAAGACACCTGCCTGCCCACCCGGCCGCGCTCTTCCTCCTGTCCGAGGTTTCCATTGTTGTGAGCATTTCTGTTGAGGATTGGCAGCGGGGGTGGGGTGAGGGGGTGTTTGGTTTTTTATTCCCCCCGTCTGCTGGGTGGTTGCAGCAGGTTTTGGTCACTTCACATGACTGTCATAAATATGAATCAGTGACCGTCATAAATATGAATCAGTTGCCAAGCATCTGAATGTAAATCACAAGACCTTGGAGATGTTGCAACAGTCCAGCTGATCGGCACTTCTGGGCTCAGCGGAAGTGCCAGGATCAGTGCTGCTTTCCAGCTGATTGGTGCTTCTTCAGGGCTCAGCAGAAGCACCAGGATCAGCACCGAGCTCCAGCTGGAACCTGGCCCTGATCCTGGCGCTTCCACTGAGCCCTGACAGCCCCGAAGAAGCACTGATCAGCTGGAAAGCGGCACTGATCCTGGCGCTTCCGCTGAGCCCTGACAGCCCTGCAGCTCCAGCCATCTCTCGCTCAGGCTTGTGCGGTGCTGCCACCGGTTCAGCTCATTCCCTTCCCCCGCTAACACTTTTCTAGGATGGTCGCGTACCACCTGCCAGGTGCCAATGTACCACAGGTGGTACCCGTACCACTGGTTGAAAAGCCCTGCTTTTATGACTCGTGGACTTCAACTCCCAGAATTCCTGAGCCAGCATAGCTCAGCTTGGAAACCTCCCCCTTTCCCCTCAGCGTGGCTGGCTCAGGAATTCTGGGAGTTGAAGTCCACGAGTCATAAAACAGCCCAGGTTGCCTACCCATGTGCTAGACTATTTCCATTTATTCGAAAAATTAATCATGGAAATAGGATGAGGTTCATAGAGAAGTTATTTGGTGATAGAACCTCCGGTACAGGATTTCTTTCAGAAGACGTTGCTTCCTGCTTGGGTAGGAAGTACTGAATTCAAGATTCTGAGATTTGGGATGTTTGTCCCAAAGATTGACGAAAGTTGCCGTTTTGAGGTTTTTCAGCATCAACTCTGTCATCCAAAGCAGAGAAGGTTGTTTGCAAAAATCTTTTTTTACCTTGCGTAGGAAGTTCTGGCAGCCTTTTGCAGAAATAATTGCGCTTTTTTTTTCTTCCAATTTTCACAGGGCGGACTTTCTTTTCAGCAAAATCCTTCTGCCTCTAATTGATTTTGATCGTGCTCAGTTAATGCAGTCCTCAGCTTACAACCATTCGTTTAGTGACAGTTCACTGCACTGGGGAAAAAATGACTTAGGGCCGTTTTTCATACTTACAACCGTTGCAGTGTCCCCAGGGGCACGTGATCAAAATTCAGGCGCTTGTCAACCGACTCCTATTTACGACGGTTGCAGTGTCCCAGGGGCCACGCGATCCCCTTTTGTGGCTTCCTAACAACCAGAGTCAACGGGGAAGCCAGATCCACTTAACAACCGTGTCACTAATTTAACAGCTGCACTGATTCCCTTAACAGCTGTGGCAAGCAAGGTTGTAAAATGGGGCAAAACTCCCTTAACGGCTGTCTCACCTAGCGACAGAAAGTTTGAGCTCACTTGTGGTCGTAAGTCGAGGACTCCTTGTATTCTCAACTGTCTAAATTTCAAGGAGGTTTTCTACTTTGGGTTTTCTCCAAGACACATTTTAATTCTGTTTCAATCCCGTGTCAGGTTCCCCAGGGACAGCCTTGGTCATGCTTGTTAATGACCTTCGCAGAACTGGGAAAGGCGGGTGCCTCTCTCTTTCTCTTCCTTGACTTCTTAGTTGCATTTGATATGAGTGATTACGGGTGTCCTGTGTCTGAACCATGACCCCAAAATAGAGGCAGGGAAAAATGCTTGGAATGTATGTACAACGGAAAAGGATCCAGATCTAAACGAAACACTTAAAAGGACTTTCAGGCATATTTTTTCCTAAAAGCATTTATTAAGGTTACAGAGACGTCAGTACGGCATGGTGGAAATGCTTAGATCTGGATCCTTTTCCGTTGTACATACATTCCAAGCATTTTTCCCTGCCTCTATTTAGGGGTCATGGTTCACATCTTCCAATTAACTTGGAAGATGTGATTTACTTCCGGGCTTTCACTGTTGCCTGATTTAACTATAAAAATACCAGACAGTTCTGCATATTGTCAAAGCAAGAATATACAGTATTTGCAGTGTTGACATCGGGATCCTGAGCTGGGACTGGAGATGGCTCTGCATTCAGTCAGTGATGGGGTTTATGTTTGTTTATGTTTATTTAAATTTGTATACCGCCCTATCTCCCTTACGGGACTCAGGGCGGTGAACAGGCGATAATAAAAATCACAATAAATATCTATTCTAAAATCAGATTAAATAAATAAAGGGTGGGGGGTGATGGAGAGATTGTTCCCTAGGCCAGTGGTGGCGAACCTATGGCACGCGTGCCAGAGGCGGCACTCAGAGACCTCTCTGTGGGCACGCGCACCGTTGCCCAGCCCCGCCTCCCCCTTTGGCCCACCAGCAGCCCCCCCAGAGGAGAGTCGCCCCTGGGCGTGGCCCACGCAGAGCAGCGCAGCCAAGGACATGTCATCCAGGCAGCAGACTCCACCCTTGCGCCCCGTCGCATGCAGATGATGCTGCAGGGCGCGGGTGGAGTGTGTGGGCACCATGGTGCTGCAGGGATGCCTGGGCGATCTGGGGCGGGCCGTAGAGATGGTAGGTGGCCCTGCGGGCAGGCGGGGTGGGAGTAGAGTGGGTGGGGGGTGGGGCGGGGGGCTGGGCGGGTTTTGGGCACTCGGTGTCTAAAAGGTTCGCCATCACTGCCCTAGGCTCCTTCTCTGGGGGGTGCTACAGCAGTGGCCAAAATTGTGGAAACCTTTTGGGGAAAGTGTATTTTTGAGATTTGATGGCTAATAACACCACTTTTTGGGGGGGGGCGTAGTACCATAAAATTATATATCAATGGAAAGATAATTTAATCAAGAATGTAATGCAACAAAGTTTGTTCAATTATCTGTACTGTATTCTATGAAAAGTTAGAGCCAAATAACCAGAAAAAGGAAACACAACTTGCTTAGGTTGATCTCAGGTAGCTTTCCTTCATCTGATTGTAGCCAATGAGGGTGAGTGTTTAGAGAGCCAATCGGGTGTCATCTTGTTTTGGCAATGAGCCAAACAGATCAGTAGGATCTCATGGATTGAAGCTGAGAGAAGGACATTCATTTGTCAGTGTGTTATGTGATCGCTATCAAGTTGGTTGGGGGTTTTTTGTGTGTGTTCTTTCATTTAGTGAGCTTGTAAAACGTAATAAAATTAAAGTCATGGTACAAAGAGTTGACTGGTCGCCCAGAAAGCGATGTAAAATAGTATTATTAAGTGATCAAGGCTACAGTTATAAAGAAATTAGAAGAAAAATTGGTGGAAACCTAACCAAAGGTGGCATTTCTACTGTACATTTTTCTCCAAAGGTTTCCACAATTTTGGCCACTACTGTATAGGGATCTGCTCTCCCCCCCCCCTTATTCAATATGTACATGAAATCTTTGGCCCAAAGGTGCTTTTTTTCCCAAAAGGCAACTGGACTTCCTTGGTTTTTGTTCTTTGAAAACATTTTGCCTCTCATCCAAGAAGCTTCTGCAGTTCATCCAAGAACTGAAGAAGCTTCTTGGATGAGGAGTGAAATGTTTTCAAAGAAAAAAACCCAAGAAAGTATAGTTGCCTTTGGGAAAAAAAAGCACCTTTGGGACAACCATAACCTGGAGGATTGAGAATCTCCACAGACATGAAACCATTGGGTGAAGTCATCCACTTATTTGGGGTTCGGTATCTAATTATATATTTTGACCCCCGGCCCAGCTAGGTGAGGCTGTCGCGTTTCTGTCCCACTGCTTGGAGACTCTGCTAGTTTTGTAATGGGAGGATCTATCTCCAACTCAAACCTACCAAATGGTTTTGGATGTTTGGGCCAACCAGGACTGGGGACGTTCTATCTCTGACCTTGGATGGAATTCAGGTAGTCCTCAACTTACAACCACTCATTTTGTGAACATTCAAAGTTACAACCGCACTGAAAATGTGACTTAGGGCTGTTTTTCACACCTAGAACTCTTGCAGCATCCTCATGGTCACATGATCAAAATTCAGGTGCTTGGCAACTGACTCCTATTTATGACGTGTCTGTTTTGGCGACCTTCTGACAAGCAAAGTCAATGGGGGAAGCCAGATTCACTTAACAACCGTGTTACTAACTTAACAGTTGCAGTGGTTGACTTAACCACTGTGGCAAGAAATAGGGCAAAAGCCACACAACAACTCTCTCACTTAGCAACAGAAATGTTGGGCTCAATTGTGGTCGTAACTTGAGGACTACCTGTAGGGTTCTTCATTCATGAATGGTGCACAATGTGGGGTTCTTCCTGGATTTCCAGCCGTTGCCTGAGCAGGTGGCAGCTGTCGCCAGGAAAGCTTTATCTGATGTGCCAGTTGTGTCCCTCCCTTAATTGGGAAGTCTTTCTGACAATATATCCCGGTCACCTCAGGGCTTGACT